TACAGGACTAGCTGTCATATATACAGAGGAGATTAACAATATGTCAGTGAATTTACATCTTATTGCCGAGTGTAGCAACATCAACATTGCAATACTGTGTATGTAAGGATGACTTGTCCCAGAATATGTTGACCGCTGAGTGTGAGGTGCAGTACTAGGATGTCAGTCTGCACATGGTAATGGCTGGAACGCACGCCAGCGTGTGCGGTCCATAGACTTGCTGCTGACATGCTGGCCAGTGCGCTCCACCAAATGAAAAACCGCCTTCTACAACTAGGAAGAGTGGATGTGTGTGCGCTGCGCCAGGAGCCAATGGGCACACGCTGGCAGGACAGGTGACTGCTGCTCCCTCCAGAGGAGGGAGGGTGCGATGTGCGCTCCACTTTGATGCAGGAAGTCACCAGACTCCCAACCACCAGCGGTGACAGCCGAGCCTCAGGAGCAGGGACTCCTATAGATTGGGAAAGCTCTCCGCAATGGTCACAAAGGGTGACCAGCAAGTCTGAACGAGCTGTCAACCATGACATGTCTGAGAGAAAATAGAGTACATGATGGACATGAATTGTGAAATGTAATACAATAATTAAATGGATGGACTTGTGTATATTGTAGCTGAATGGATGAGTTGGGGGACATTATAAGGAAGGGATGGTGCACATACTCATATGCACACACAAGCATTAACACATCTACACACCTATATGGACATGTGCATGCACACAATAGTACTGGTCTAATAACTACATTTCTGTATGGTATTAATAAGATTGAATTGCGATGAAAAAATCGTGGGTGTGGGGGGCAGGGCTGTGACACGGTCTGTGTGTCCCATAGACGCACATAGGCGGCTTGGAAGCAAGCACGCACAAGTGTCCCCAGAGCAAGCAGCTTGTTCTGGGAGCATTCGGGAAGGGGGATGAACCAGAAGCGCTTGCAGGGGACCTGAGAAGAGGATTGGGGCTGAACAGGTAAGTATGATGTATTTTTTTATTTCTTTTTTGTTTGTTTGTTTGTTTTTTTTAAACTGAACCTTTATAACTACATTTAAGTAGAATATATATTTTTTTAAATAAAAGTAAATGATTAATATTTTGCCCACATATCTAGTGATGTGATTTATTTGCCTAACCAGGGGATTGAATGTTTTCTTTTTTTTTTTTTTTTTTCTTATTTTTTTGGTGTGGGAAAACACCAGAAATGTGGCGTTGAGTCTACTGTGCTCTAGCAGTATTAATATTGTGAGTTGATGACCTTGTAATTTCCATCTGTGTGTTAATGCTTTCACCTTGCTGATAATTTTTTTTTGTTTTTTTTTCATATGGCAATCTTGTCACTTGTTACCTGGATACAACATATAACCTTCAACAGTAACACACTTTCATGATATTGCGCACACTTTTTAGGATAATTGTTCTGCGCTTTTGTAAATATAATGTTTGCTTTAGGTGCAAAAGTTTGCAGCTGATAATCTGACAGATTTTTTTTGTATTGAAATGACCTGTGTATATGCTCACACACTGAGCTGTGTATGGGTGTCCTCCAAGTTTCAAAGAATAAATATTTGCTTTAATACTGAACAGTTAGGGTGAAAAATGTGATAAATATCTGTTTGTGTTGTCCTTTGCACAATATGGACATTTGGTACTTGGAGGAATGGTCACTTCACTTCTTTTGATCTGGCAGTTGTTGCAGATTGAGCCCTTGGTAACCAGCACTGAGAGACTTTTCAGTGTACAAGCTTGAAGTTACATTCAGGTTGTTGTTGTTTTATGTTATGTAAGCTTTTATGGTTTGGTTTTGTTTAGTTGGTAGAGAAAGAGCAATGGATTGTGTTGAAAACTTTAGATTACTATTCCATCAACCTTGGCTTTCACTGCTTTCCCCTCCCACACAGTAGATATACTGCAGCAAGGTGGCACATGCAGGCTCAGTCACATATATATACATGATTGAAGCTGTGTAGGAGCACACAGCGTGCTCCTCCTGTGGCCATTGTGCCCACCAGACACAGCTCATCACTGTTACCATTAATCGGTAACTGGGTATCATGTGATCGCTATGATTGGTCATAGTGGTCACATGACAACAGTGTAAACAACCTGTCATGAATGGGGTTCCATTCATGAACCACTTGCTTATATTAGATCTGTGATTGGCCCAAAGCAATCACAAGGTACCTGGCTACCTGTACCATATTATTAGCTTAGCCAATCGCAGATCACAATCAAAAGCAAGCTGTCTGTGAATGGTTAACCCATTCATGACAGCTAAAGCTATTGCTTATACAGAGATCCTATTCCCCCCCACCAAGCGTAGTTTAGTGTTACTATGGTGACACTGAGTTACTCTGATGACAGGGTGTAAAAAAAAAAAAAGTTGAAAACAAATGTTTAAAAATTGTTTTTTTGTTTTGTTTTTACATATTGTCACCAGTCAGTAAATCTGATCACCGCCCCAACAGACATATGATGATGCTGTTCTACTGGTGACAGTTTGTAAGAAAAAAAAAAAGTGAAACTAAACTTTTTTTTTTTTTTTATTTTTTTCAAAAAATTGTGACAAAAAATTGTAAATTTAAAAAACCCACAATGCCTCTTACTAAATAACTCAAGACTGTCTACTTTCCAAAAAGGGGTAATTTGGGGGCATTTGTAGAAGAAATGAGATGGACTGTCGGTATATCAGGACTGATCAATTTTTAAATATATATACCATAGTTTGTAGACACTATAAGTTTCACACAAGCCAATTTTTATATATACTTTTTTGGGGATTATTTTTACCAAAAACATGTAGCCGAATACATTTTGGCCTAAATTTATGAAGAAATTTGATTTTATTGTACATGTTTTATATAACCAAGTAGAAAATATTGTTAGTTTTTTTGTTTTGGTTTTTTTAAATTTTTCATTTTTATTTCTCAAAAAAAAAAAAAATCCAGTGATAATCAAATGAACCCAAAAGAAAGCTCTATTTGTGTGAAAAAAAAAAATAAAGTTCAGTTTTGTACAGTGATACATGGCCACACAATTCTCAGTTAAAGTAGCACGGTGCCAAATGGCAACAAATGGCCTGGTCATGAAGGACATAAAACCTTCCTGAGCACAGGTGGTTTAATAAAAAAAAAACAAAGGGATCAAATCAGGGAAAAAGCATGTTAGCTGCACCACAAACTGTAAAGCATGACTGTAGGTGGTTTTTTGTCCCCCTCATACAATTCCTTCTCTGCACCTTCTGCCACTTTTTTGTTTATGTATTTTTAATACAAAGCTATACATGCCTTAAGTGCCCGTTCACATATATGCAGATTTGATGCGATTTCAACCGCATCCAATCCGCATGACATATGAAAAAAACATTGCTTCCTATGGTGCATGTTCACATATGTCCGGTGCACTGGTAGTGGGGATTTGATTTCTGAGCAGTGCAGTTCGGTTTAGGTGCTGATTACAGGCTATTGACTTCTATGGGAACCGTTTCTAAACTGCATATGTGTGAACAGGATAAGATCCTGAGCTAATCCTATCCTGAATCTGATGTAAACCTGACATCAACCACTGAACAACTACTGTATCAATTGTCTGTGAATCCTGAGCTGGATGTTCAGACCTCCCCTTTCCCCCACAGCCACATTCACAAAACGCATGTGCAGTATGAAAAGGCTTTACTGCAGGTTTCCCTTACTGAAGATGCTGGCACCTACACCCGAAGCCGATTGAAGAATCGGCTCTGGTGAGGACATTGATGGACCCCTGGACAGGTAAGTGTAATTATATAAAAAAATCATCAGCTTCAGTATTTGCAGCTGCTGACTTTAATTTTTTGGCAGGAGCTCCGCTAACAAACAGGTTTCTACTTACCTGCTCTATGCAGTGGATATGCACTCAGTGGCCCTGAACCTCATCTTCTCAGGTCCCCTGCCGGCGCTCCTGGCTCCTACTGTTCTCAGCGGTACTGCATTGGAAAACGCTTCCATCTGCCTGCTCGCTTCCAAGCCCTGCTGTCTGTGTCTGTAGACATAGACATCAGGACTCGGCCCCGCCCTTCGCTCCCCCATCACTGGCTTTGATTGATGGCAGCACAAGCCAATGACACCAGCTGCCTCAGCAAAGCCAGTGAGACCAGGAAGTGAGGGGAGAGAAGAGCCGTAGACATGCACAGTTGTGGATCGAAGGAGGGTTTATGTAAGTATAGGGGGGGCGGTAATCATGCCAAACCGAAAGGAACGCATGTTTAGGCTTTATAACCGCTTTAAGGCTGATCCTTTGATTTCAGAGGTCCTTCCTCTTCTTCAGTAGAGGTGGATGGTTCCTTGTCTCAGATTGAACAAGTCAGCACAACTCCGTTCAGGAGTTCCATGAGCCCATTCTAGGTGATAACACACCTCTAGGTGGCTCACAGGAAGCAGGTTGGATGACAGTCATTCAACCAGAAAAGACTTGTGAGGCTGGAACTCCAAAGCAAGTAAGTTTGCGGGCAAAAGTGAGTATTTCAGCGAGAGCTGCTTTTTATGTTTTAAAATTTGCAAAGCAGGAAAAAAAAACATGTAATTTCACATTTGAGTTTGACCACAGGCAATCCTCTAAATGCAGAAATGTTGTGTTTTTTTTTTTTTTTTTTTTTATATTTGCCAAAAGATTTGTAATTTTGGCCAGCCATTCTTGTGGAACACACAGCTCTGAAATTCAACAAGGTCACATTGCTACTTCCTTGGTTAGTATTGTTGGTTTCTGGGTCAGTTTTAATGCTTTTTGGATTAGCTTCCTGCTCATTGAACGGAGGAGATGATGCTATTTTTTTTTTTGTCCTGGAGGTGACATTGGAAGCTTTCAAATAGTTCTATGCAAATAGGAATAAAAATGATTGGATGACTTGAACAGTCAGATTTGTTTTGTTGACCACATATGAAACATACTATATCTATGCCAAACTGCATAATTTATTTATTTTTTTTGCCACACTGTAGTACTAATGTAGTTTGTCCCTTCCTTTTTTTTGTAGGGTGTGATAGGTGTACAGCTGGTTGTTACAATGGTAATGGCCAGTGTATTGCAGAAGATCATACCGCATTATTCTTTGGCTCGTTGGCTTCTCTGCAATGGCAGGTAATGCAACATTTCTGTGGTGCATCAGAGCTATGCTGAAAATTAACTAAAGCGATCATGTGTTTTTGATTTGTACATCTTTTTTTCTGTATGCATGCAATTGAACAAAGCTCATTATGCTCTTGTTATAATGCTATAAAATTAAATGTTTATTTTACAGCTTATATTGGTATCAGCATCCCACAGAAGAAGAGTTACGAACACTTGCTGGAAAGCAACAGCTTAAAGGAAAGGGTAAAAAAGACAGGTGGGATTTTTCATGTCTGCATAGGAATGTACTGAGACATTCATTAGGATCAACTAGGGGAACCAGACGATGAATGGGTCACTGAAACGTGTTGGACAAAAACTGACAACATAAGTTTGGCACAAAGAAATGTTTTACAGTTTTTAATAAAGTAGCAAATATAATTAGTTCCATACCCTCCACCAGCCCCATGCTGAATGTTTTAGCTGTATTCCAGAAGATAGAGGGGCAGCCAGCCTATACTAATCAGAGGCCTTCCTCTGACAGTCCAGCTGGTTTCCTGGGCAGGGATTGTTTGACTCTCAGGTGATTCAGAGTGAGGCCTCTAATAGGATCAAATAAACCAGCCCCTTCAATACTAACAAAATAATTTGTACAGTGTTACAGCTGCTTTCACTATAGTTATATGAAGATATGTGTTTTTTTACATTTTGAGGCTCATGCACACTGCAGTTCAAAAAAGCTGCCTTTTCTCTCTCTGCCTGTAAACTCTTCTCCATGTTAGCCTATATGTTTATAGGCCTTTTCAGGAGTTTAGTGGCAGGGGGGTTTACAGGCAGATAAAATATCACTGGGGCGTTCAGGAGAGGAGCTTTTGAGCATAAAAAATGCCCAAAAGCGCCTTAATGTATGTTAATGCACGTTCCTGCAATAATGCATTCTAATGGCTAGAATTCTGGGCAATAGAATGCATTAACACCAAATGTGGTAATGCACATACAAAAACATGTCTTTTTACTGCGTTTTTATACTGCAGACTCCTGTGGGAGAAAAAAAAAATCTTTAAGCTTACAATATGGCCTTAAAGTGCTCCTTAAGGCTGAAGGTGAACAACCTGCAGGGTGTAGCGCCCACTGCGACCCCCCCAATACATATCTGAGCCAGATCCCAATCCAGTGATGTGCACAATGTCCTCATTGGCTGAGACACAGCAGCGGGAGCCATTGGTTCCTGCTGCTGTCAATTACAGTCAGTGAGGAGGGAGTAGGGGCAGGAGCTGAGCCACGTCTTATGGACCTTCAGGTCTTGCTCGAGAGCAAGCATGCACTAGTGCCCCCAGAGCAAGCAGATTGCTCTGGGGGCACTCAGCAGGGGGAGGGGGCCAGAACGTCAGCAGGGGACTCGAAAAGAGGATCAGGGCATCTCTGTGCAAAACTATTGCACAAAGCAGGTAAGTATAAAGTCTTCTTTTCAGCTGGCATGCCTCCTGATGATACAACACTAAACCCAACCCCCCCCCCCCCTTCTGCTTTCCCTGGAGGCAAATGGGAAGACCATGCACGGGGGGAAAAATGACGTGCAAGGGGGAGCAGGGACACACTTTTAATTTTGGGGGACAAAAAAAAGACATCCCTTATTATGGCAGCAGGGGGGGGGGGAGAGAGGAGGGAAGTCTCTCTTGAGGGTGGAGATTTGCTTTAAGCTGTTTGTTTTTTTTTTTTGTTTTTTTTGAATGCTGTTTTTCCTTGAAAATAGTTATACAATTGTTGCTAGTATCCTCTTACCTCTCTGTTTTATTTGGAAGAGAAGCTGTTTAATTAGCAGCCTTTTGTACACTAACAAACATTCAGGGAGACCGTAAAATAATTGGCCATGGTGCGTGAAAGTTGCATTTAAGGGCTCGTTCACACTTGACTATTTTACCAACTCTTGCCAAACGCCCCTATAGCGTTTGGCAAGCGTTGGTTAACGGCATTTGTGGAAACGCTCCGCAACCGCCTATAATGAAGTTCAGATGGTGTTACCGCTCCGCAAATGCCCCGCAAACTGTGTCGCAATCGCACGCAAACGTCGGCCATTTGTGGAGACACCATAGACTAGAATAGGAGGCTTCAACACCTCCTGACTCGACCAGAGGCGTCCGTTTTGCCGCACCGTGACGTTCCGTTAGAACTGGAACGTCGCGCAATGGGCAGAATTGTCCGAGGCGTTTGGGAAGCGGTAAAAAACGCTTCTCAAACGCCTTTCTGCTGCTTGAAAACAAGGCTAGTGTGAACGTAGCCTAAATGAGCTGATTTATGGATACATTGCATAATTCCTACTGCCATAGTTGGTTAGTAGAATAAATGTGCAGTATTTTAAGCATATGGTGATACCTCTGTGGGTCAAAAAGGGAGATATTTTCATTTTAGCACTTGAAAGCGCACAGTACCATGCTGCAACTGCATGCATTATATGGTTTGCAGGGAAGCCCTTTCAATTAAATGGGTTATGTTTGGTGGCAGTACTGACATGGCCATGTCAACTTGTGGCTGGGAGGTCATGGAGTGCCACTACCTATTTTTGCAGGCGCTCAAGTAGACAAGGCCTTATGCTGCAAAATGGGAGACTGTAGCTTGCTTGCTTTTTTTCTTTTATATAAAGAAGCTTGTGATTATTATTATTATTATTATTCTTTAGAAAATATAATGGTCATATTGAAAATAAACCACTTACCATTCCCAAAGACATTGACCTTCATTTGGAAACTAGGACTGTTACCGAAGTTGACACTTTAGGTGAGTACGCAATATATATTTTAAGTTATCAGCTTAGAAATAACGTGATACTTAATAACATGCTTTTTCTTCATATATTCAGCACTCCATTATTTTCCTGAGTATCAATGGTTAGTAGACTTCACTGTTGCTGCTACTGTGGTTTACTTGATAACTGAAGCCTATTACACCTTTGTAATACCATCACAAGAGATGAATATCAGCATAGTTTGGTGTATGCTCGTTCTGGCATTTGCAATGTATCCTTTTTTAATGAATCATAATGGTAATTATTGGGTATAGAATACAATTATGGTAGCACCTTTTTATGTTGGTTGAAATTGTTTAATTGGCTAGAAAAGTACTATACTGTTTAGTAAGTTTGTTCAAAATAGATATGTCCATTTTAAATAGATAATCGACAGTTTACAAGCTAAGTTTTTCCTCCGAGAGGCTTTGTTAGTGAAATCTCTTCATTCCACATGTGAGTTCTAAGGTCTGCAAACCTTGGATACCTACCAATGCCATTCGCAAGTTGCTCCCTCAGATTTACTTGTAGTTCTTAGAATATAAAACAAGAGTAGGAATACTCAAAACACAAGCTAGAGTGGTCCATTTTAAATACAATATGTAAAATCTAAACAAGAAAAGGGGCTAGAAAGAAGAAAATAAAGTCATTAGGTATTAGTGTAATATAAGATTTTCTGTCATTGTAGTTTTACAAGGCCATTGTAAAACATTGTAATGTAGTTTTACAAGGCCAAAAAACCCTTCATTACTTAAAGGCTAAGTGCACCTTTTGCACCATGTTACATTTTACATTCGCGTTTAGGGTGTAACATGTAACCTGATGAAAATGCTCCCCAATGACAGCAGGCCGGGATTTTTCTCCCCTGCAGTTGCTATCATATTTTAAAATCGGGGCTTCACCTGCACAGCTGTCGTTTATTCACAGGAATCTGCAAATAAATAAACTACAAGTTCCCTTTGCCACTGCGGCAAACTGACGTGTAGCTCTCAGTGGACTATGCGTGCTGTAAACGGCACGCTCCTAGTTCATTCAGTCTTCCCCTAGCTCTCTAGCTGACAGCCCGTACGGGTAGGCAGCTAAAGAGTTTTGATCCAGTGTTTGCTGATGCAGTGCTTTTGCTTTTTTTTTTTTTTTTTTTAATAAAGGTGAACTTAGCCTTTAACTTGTTTAGAGGTCACTGTACATTTTGCTTGAGAAGCCAGAGCACAGAACAGCCCCCAGGAGTCCTATACTCTGTTTTTTATAGGTAGGCACAAGAGTTATACAATTTAAGATTACTTGAAATATTATCAGTGAATAAGACAATTAATGGGTCAGTCCACTCCTAAATTTATATTTCTTTGTTTGGTAGATGCTGGAGAGTTAAACCAATTAAAGTACAAGTCCAGTCAAAGCCTATCTAAGCTTAAACCTGCTCCTACCATCATTCTAAGCTCTATTCTTACTTGGGAGATTTGGAGGTTCCTACCCTTGTGTGCTCCAGCATTTCCTGTTGCATTTTTCATAATATAGAATAAACTATAATTTAAAAGAGAGCAAAGATGCCTTATAGCAGCCACAACTGGTACACAAACTGAGAAACTTAAATTTAGAGAGTTAGTAAGAGATATATATCACAGTTAAAGTAGGAGACTAAGCTTAAACCTGCTCCCATCCTTATTCTAAGCCCTATTCTAACTACCCTGTAAAGGAAAGAAGTGTATATTTGCTTATTCCCTGGGTTCTCCAGCTCGTTCACACAACTGGCTCCCAGCGCTGGCTTCAGTGTAGAGGAAGAACAGCCGACAAAGAATGCCCCATAATAAGACTATGGGAGACATCACCACGCAGGCATTGCAGCCATTGTTGGCGATCTCTTCTCTTCACTGAAGCCAGCCACTGGGGAGATCACATGACCAGACCAAAGCGCCCAGGGAATAAGGTAAGTATAAGCATCTTTTCTGTACAGGGTAGTTATTATAGGGCTTAGAATGGGGGTGGGAGCGGGTTCAAGTTTAGATTTTTGACTGAACTTCTACTTTAATGGTGACATGTATCTCTTAAGAACTTTCTAAACCTAAGTTTCTCACTTTGTGTTCTTCTTCTGGCTGTTGTAAGGCATGCTTGCTCTCTTTTATTTATAATTTATTATGAAAAACGCAACAGGAAATGCTGGAGCACACAAGGGTAGAAACACCCAAAACTCCCAAGTTTATAGGCTTACATTTGGGAATGATGGAAGAGAGAAATCTCACTGTTGGATTAGTTAAGATATATATTCCTAAGGGACCATCAGATTCCATTGTAACTAACATCTCACTTTTTAAGTGGGTTGTCCCCTTTTGTTTCATTGTAGATGTTGCTTTTTGCTCAGTGAAGATATGAAAAGCTATGAAGCACATGCTTTTCAAATATCTGAAAGAAAAATGTGTTTAGGAAGAGAGCATGGGGAGAGACTAGGGTGTAAATCTGATCTGCCCCCCCCCCCCCCCCCCCCCCCCTATTCTACAGTGTGCTCTTGTGTCTACAATACCACCTGCGGGTTGAAGGATTCTTTACTTTAAAGTGGTTGTAAACCTCAGTCATGAAATCTGAACAAAGCACAGATATTGTAGTGTTTACTTGTCTCTTTGCAAAGCTCTAAAGCCCCGTATACACGTTGAGAATGATCGTCTGTTTTGTTTTTTTTGTTGCATGCTAGTCTCTTATCGAATGTGAGGAGGTTACTAAAGTTACAAAAATTCTCGTACGACAAAATAAAATTTCGGAAAATATATAATGTGTTTTGTATTGTATTTTTGAACGACAATCGTACGGTCTGGTATCGTGCAACCAATATTTTTGTGCTTGTACCTTCAAGTAATTTCAAACAATTGCTGTGTACTAACAAACAGATTATCGTACAATTGCTTTGAAAGCTGCATTTTTCGTATGATTTTCTGATCATGTGTATGGGGCTTTAGTGTCGTTTTCTCTCTGGTGACAAGTTTTCCCAACACATGAGATAAATTTGTGTTGGGGGGTTTCGAAGAGATTTTATAGAACTTTTGTAAAAATGACAACTACAAGCAGTCTCCTTCTGCATCATGCAGTAGCAACACCTTCATTTGAAAGTGAGCAAAAAAAAGGTTCCATTACATTTACATAACTGATGCAAGGCAACAGGTATCAGATAACATCTGAGATCTGTCATAATGCCACCCGGAAGAAGGAGATAATTCTGCACCTCAATGATGTGTGATAAAAATAATTCTATTTTTGAATTGCATATCAGTTACTCCAATTTTTAAAATAACAAATGATTAAAGTGGAACTGTAGACAGAAAATTAAGTCCTGCTAGATCATCTTGCAGGTACAGCTCTGTAAAGCATTAAACAGTATAGGCACTTATTTTTAATATCCAGTGATATATTGTTTCATCCTTCTCTACGCATACTCAGTTGCTGTCTCTTTTTAGGTACTGTGCCAAATTGTAGAGGCCAATCTACTGACAGCCTAAAGATTTACTGCTGTTCAGTGGCTATGGGCTTCAGCAAAATGGCAGCCTCCATGAGAAAGAAACAGGAACAATGCTGGAGGCAATTTACAGCACACTCATTTTGGTAGCATAATTATTTAATGTGAAATGTATGCTTCTTGCTAGAGAACATTATTATTTATCAAGTTGTTATGAGTAAAGTTCCACTTAAAATAACAACTGAGTCGTAAAGTAATGTCTAACGTGTTGTTATACTGCTAGTTTAAAAATAGTTTGAAAAAAGTGTTTGTGAGTTTCCTAAATTGACTGCCTTTACACAGCAAGCACATAATGTGTGATAACAATGAAGTAAACGGGTGAAATTAAGAAAAAAATGCTTTGTGAATTGACCCTTTTTGTCTGGACTGTGTAAAGATAAATATGTGAAATGCCAAGAGCGGAAATACTTTGTTCTCCTTGACTGTCATGTCCAGCAAAGTGTTGTTCTCCCTGACAACCCATTACTTTAAAGTGGAAGATGGTGGCGAGAGATCTGTCTGTGTTACATTTGGATTCTTTTTCTTTGTCAAGGCCATGGCAATTCTAATTGTGACAGAGAACTACTTGGAATTCGGCCTAGAGACTGGTGAGGAATTCAATCTTGCTATGTTTTTATTTTTATATATATATATATATATATATATATATATATATATACAGTCAGGTCCATAAATATTGGGACATCGACACAATTCTAACGTTTTTGGCTCTATACACCACCACAATGGATTTGAAATGAAACAAACAAGATGTGCTTTAACTGCAGACTGTCAGCTTTAATTTGAGGGTATTTACATCCAAATCAGGTGAACGGTGTAGGAATTACAACAGTTTGCATATGTGCCTCCCACTTATTAAGGGACCAAAAGTAATGGGACAATTGGCTTCTCAGCTGTTCTATGGCCGGGTGTGTGTTAATCCCTCATTATCCCAATTACAATGAGCAGATAAAAGGTCCAGAGTTCATTTCAAGTGTGCTATTTGCATTTGGAATGTTTTGCTGTCAACTCTCAAGATGAGATCCAAAGAGCTGTCACTATCAGTGAAGCAAGCCATCATTAGGCTGAAAAAACAAAACAAACCCATCAGAGAGATAGCAAAGCCATTAGGCGTGGCCAAAACAACTGTTTGGAACATTCTTAAAAAGAAGGAACGCACCGGTGAGCTCAGCAACACCAAAAGACCCGGAAGACCACGGAAAACAACTGTGGTGGAAGACGAAGAATTCTTTCCATGGTGAAGAAAACACCCTTTACAACAGTTGGCCAGATCAAGAACAATCTCCAGGAGGTAGGTGTATGTGTGTCAAAGTCAACAATCAAGAGGAGACTTCACCAGAGTGAATACAGAGGGTTCACCACAAGATGTAAACCATTGGTGAGCCTCGAAAACAGGAAGGCCAGATTAGAGTTTGCCAAACGACATCTAAAAAAGCCTTCACAGTTCTGGAACAACATCCTACGGACAGATGAGACCAAGATCAACTTGTACCAGAGTGATGGGAAGAGAAGAGTATGGAGAAGGAAAGGAACTGCTCATGATCCTAAGCATACCACCTCATCAGTGAAGCATGGTGGTGGTAGTGTCATGGCGTGGGCATGTATGGCTGCCAATGGAACTGGTTCTCTTGTATTTGTTGATGATGTGACTGCTGACAAAAGCAGCAGGATGAATTCTGAAGTGTTTCGGGCAATATTATCTGCTCATATTCAGCCAAATGCTTCACAACTCATTGGACGCCGCTTCACAGTGCAGATGGACAATGACCCAAAGCATACTGCAAAAGCAACCAAAGAGTTTTTTAAAGGAAAGAAGTGGAATGCTATCCAATGGCCAAGTCAATCACCTGACCTGAATCCGATTGAGCATGCATTTCACTTGCTGAAGACAAAACTGAAGGGAAAATGCCCCAAGAACAAGCAGGAACTGAAGACAGTTGCAGTAGAGGCCTGGCAGAGCATCACCAGGGATGGAACCCAGCGTCTGGTGATGTCTATGCGTTCCAGACTTCAGGCTGTAATTGACTGCAAAGGATTTGCAACCAAGTATTAAAAAGTGAAAGTTTGATTTGTGATTATTATTCTGTCCCATTACTTTTGGTCTCCTAACAAGTGGGAGGCACATATGCAAACTGTTGTAATTCCTACACCATTCACCTGATTTGGATGTAAACACCCTCAAATTAAAGCTGACAGTCTGCAGTTAAAGCACATCTTGTTCATTTCATTTCAAATCCATTGTGGTGGTGTATAGAGCCAAAAATGTTAGAATTGTGTCGATGTCCCAATATTTATGGACCTGACTGTGTATATATATATATATATATATATATATATATATATATATATATATATAAAATAAAAGCACTACATACGAAAATAAATTAGTAACATGACTCTCAGCTTTGTTATTTTAGATTCTTGCAGCATTTGCTGAATTTAGTAAATGATTGAATTTAGTATACAATTGTAGATTGTTCATGAGATGAACTGTGAAAAACAAACTCCAGCCGTTTTTGTTTTTTTCATGTGTTGGGTATTATGAACAAAGCTTAGAAGCTGTTGATTTGTTTTGTTTTGTTTTTATTTTTTGCTATGTTCCCATTTTTGGAAAAAAATTTTCATTATTTAATAAATGTTTTAGGCGTGTGTTTGCACGTGTATCCAGCATGTTTCCTGTGCTGGGAAAGGAGAGGAAAGCAGCTCGATAAGAGGAGTTCTTCAGGTGTAAAAATAAACACATCACACATTTGCAGGAGCTCCTATTGAAGTCTAGAGGACCACAATTCTTAAATACACTCAAAAAAAGCTCTTTTTTGAGTGTAGAGCAAAGGGACTGAGTGTACATACTGTATGTGAACAGGGACAATTAAAAAGGATGTGATTCTGGTTGTTGAGTGGGCTGAGGGACCCAGCAGCCTCCACCCACTACAGGCTGCCTGCAGAAAATTGCAGGAGGGTATAGTGACAAGACCAGTCACACTGGACAAGGATTGAGAGCAGAAGTGACCGGTCTTTATTACAGGAAGCTCCTGTACAGATGTAAAGTTTCACACACTGAATTACTTCACAGATCTGGAAATAATATACAAAACACACCAACAATACACATGACTGTTGTATGTAGACAATATTTGCTTATCTCATAGTTAAGCTTCAAGCTTTGAAAATGAAAGCTAGAGGCTTATTGATTACCAATACAAAGCTGCTTCAGATTTTGTCTGCTCTAGTTTTTAATAAATCCCCCCACTCTCCCTTCCTGTGTTTTTCTGAACATCATGAGTTCAGCTAAATAAAGGCACCTAGTTCTGACACAGCAGAGGGTGGTGGAGGACAGGCTTTTCTACTCAGGCTGTAGCTTCTTTTTGAAAGAGGGATCAGTTTGATGTTGCATAATCTTGTTAAGATACGCCTTGGATTTATTTATGATTATGATTTAATCTGAAAATTTAAGTGGACCTAAAGCTATAAAATCTTTTATATGTGTATCTCCAAAAAGAAAATATGTTTTAACTTTGTTTCTTAAACACTTTTCTCTGTAGGCTTTTCAAATTTTTCTGAAAGTGCTGTTCAGTTCCTGCAGAAACAGGGATTGGAGTCTCAGTAAGTTTCCTAAGAAAACACACAGTGGTTTAATTTTGTAATAAGTACTGGCAATGTTTTGTTACACAGTCTACAGGCAATTTCATTCTTTCTATGTGTCTTGGTAAACCACACTTGGATATAGTTTGCTTAGCGTGTGTGTGTATATATATGTATGTGTGTGTGTATATATATATATATATATATATATATATATATATATATATATATATATATATATATACATACACATGCACACGCACATACTTAGTGATTTAAACGTTCTAATTGTTTTTGATGTTTTTTTTCTTCAGAGGTCCAGTGTCAAAACTTACATTTAAGTTATTTCTGGCAGTTTTGTGTTCTCTCATTGGAGCTTTCCTGACATTCCCTGGTTTGCGACTGGCTCAGATGCACCTTGATGCCCTAAACTATACAAAAGAAACCATGACACAGTAAGAACTGCAAACATTTGAAAGCTACAAGCCGTCTGTTGCAATAGCCAACGGTAGTTGTTCATTCATTCACAGAACTCTGTGAATGAATGACATGGGCCTGTGGATCAAGTGGGTAAAGTGCTGCTGATCACCAATGACTGCGGGATTGTTTTTGTTAAAGGTTTGAGGAAGTTTATAGTGCCACTGACAACCAATGGTTGTGGGATCATTGCTTTTTAAATGTAAAGAATTAGAAGTTGAATGTAAGAAAACTGACATTTTTTGTGTGTTTTTTTGATTTAGAAAAAATTTAAAACACCTCTGTGTAGAACAAATACCACCAAGAGAATTTTATATGTCTAAAGAAAATTAATTAAAATTCATTTGGATACAGTGTTACTTGACAGATTAGTTGTCAAATTATCACAACACTGAAAATTGAAAAACGGGCTGGCAATGAAGGGCATACACAGCCTGGTAGTCAAGTGGTTGAAGCAAATATCAAGTCAGATATTGTCTCAGGGTTTCCATTTCATTTCCAGCATGCATATCCCAATACTGTTAGCTGGCAGCATCCTCCATGTGCACAGTTCAGCATCCTTCTATCGTGAAGTCATAGTAATGTTCCTTTGTCTAATGGGTAATTACTTTAAACAAAAAAAGCATGTGCAGAGTATGATTGGAGGCTATTATCGAAACAGATTCAGTTTTTCACGCCAACTCTTTCAGGGCTCCCCCTCAGATGTCAACCATTTTGCTACTAGCATATATTCACTTAAACAGCTGCGCTCTGGTGATCTTTCTTATCAGTGCTGCCCCTCTCCCCCCACCAGACATGTGTGCGTACCATGGTCTTCATTTCACTGAAAAGCCTGCCATCCAGTTGGTAGGTCTTCTGTTGAAATTAATGGAGTACACTGGGGTGAGAATATTTGTGTAATAGCAGGCAGGTCACACAACAAAAATGACTAGAGACTTGTAGTTTAGACTGTTAGTAAAATACTCACCATGGGTATGGGGAACCACAAAGCATAACTACACTAAAATTATATTATACCTGTTATTTTACTTTATAATGTATATGTTTTGTGTGTTTTTGTTTTTTTAGATTTTTGCTACATATAAACTTCTTGTCCCCTCTTCTAATGGTTTTGCTGTGGGTGAAACCTATAACCAAAGATTACATTCTGAATCCGCCCTTGGGCAAGGAAAGTGTACCACTGTGAGTGAAGTTTGTATTAAGCTTGATAATATGTTTTATGGTGTATATATATTAAATCTAAAAAAAATAAAAAAATAGTTGTGGTATTGATTTTTTTGCTTCAGCAATTCATACTATATATTTAAGTTGCTTGACATTAGTAATGTGGTAGCTACAGTGACTACAAAGTCAAAGCCTGCCATTTTTGGCATGATGGGAGATATTTTATGCTCACAGCAAATATACTCTGTGCACCTCTATTGCTGTTGGGGGTTTCTGCCCAAATTCTATTATTTTAGGATGTAGCATACAAAAAAGGACAACACTATGAAAACTAAAACTGGAATATTTCTTGATGTACTCTTCAGATCTGCATAGATATGTTGCCCAAAACTAACAATTACTATTTAATAATTGCAGTATTGTGAACATATTGTTGAAAACAAAATGTTGATTAGCCAGATTGAACGTTCTCAATTTATAACATTTAGCCAACCTATGTGACTGCTGCCTTAGGATATACATACGGAGAACACTAAAACTACATTTGGTGTATGAAATTATATGTAGTAGATATATTTTTGCTATAATACAACCAGTTTAATGGCTTTGTAAATACTATAAATGATTGCTAAAAAAAGAAGAAGATTATCTGCACAGATTCAGTTGTTCCCTTTTGTATTTTCATAATTACCCACCTTAGAGAGTGGATACTTTGTATAAGTTATTAAAATACTTTTATTCGTTCAGAAGCGGTGGATGGCTTTGAAGGAATTCCGATCCTCAGGAGCAGATATTATTTTTGTCCAGGAGACCCATTTTAAGTCAGCAGGTTCCTTTCGTTTTGCCACAAGGTTTTTTTCTCTCAATCCTATTCGGCCTTTGACCCATCTGGTAAGGCTGGAGTGGCAGTACTGATCCGGACACATTGCTCCCTTCGGGTCGTCTTTTCCAAGGTCTATCATCATGGTCGCTTCATTCTCCTAGAATGTATGCTTGGTGATACTCCCCTTATTTTGCTGAATCTCTATGCTCCGAATTCAGGTCAATTACAATTCCTTACACAAACTCTCGCCAAATTAGGCTCCTTTTCCGCTCCACACATGATTATAGGGGGTGACTTTAATTTAATCCTTTCACCGCATAAGGATAGGAAGGTCCTCCTTGAGTCCGCTCCTTCGAAGCGGCAATGCTCCTCCTCGAAATCCTTTCGTAAATTGATCAGGGAGCATCGTCTCTTTGATGCCTGGCGGATTCAACATCCTACCCACAAAACAGTTCACCTTCTACGCCACACCTCACTGCTGCTACTCCCACTTAGATCATTTTTTCATTTCCGCTCCTCTTCTCCCGCTCCTAGTTTCTTCTGACATCAATCCTATTACACAGTCTGACCACGCCTCCCTGACCTTAAATTTATTATTCCCCAATGTTATGCCAAAATCAGGCCATTGGCGTCTCAATGAGTCCTTTTTGACCACGGAACATCTCCGTGCTGAGCTCTCACAGGGCCTTGATATGTATTTTCAACACAATGTAGGCTCTGTTCCATCTACCTCGACCGTATGGGAAGCCCACAAGGCGGTATTTTGAGGCCTTTTGTATCTCCATGGGTTCTCGCCTGAAGAAATCCTCAGAGCATGCCAGGATTACCTAGTTCGCCAGTTAACACTAGCTGAAGGTAGACTTCTCACAAAGCCGTCTATTCCTCGGCTTTATAAAGTGACCTCCCTACGTGACCAAATCAAAACCCTTGATGCTTGTAAGTTCACAAAATCTTTCCTCTGGGTTAGGCAGAAATTCTACGAATTCTCTAACAAACCCCACTGTATGCTTGTCAATAGACTTAAAGCACAGTCCCCTTCTACATTGCCGGACCATCTTGTCCAGCCGAATGGGAGCCCTACTTACGATCCTCGTGTGATGGTCTCCCTTTTTGGCTCATATTATGAGTCCCTTTACAACTGTTTGACCTCAGACCTCCACCCTCCTCTTACAGAAACTTCTTTTGATTTGGTTTTTCAATCCCCTACTAATACCAAAGCTATCGTCTTCTGACATTTCGGCTCTTAACGCTGACATTACACCTGAGGAACTATTTGATACAGTCAAACATCTCCCCTCACGCAAAGCCCCAGGACCAGACGGACTTCCTACTCCTATTACAAGACCTTCATTGGTATCCTAGCTCCCCATCTTCTTTCTCTTTATCACGATTTTTTCAGAGGTATTGTTCCCCAAGCCGATTTTTCCAGAGCATATATCTCTGTGATTCACAAATCTGGCAAGGACCATTCCATCTTAGATAACTACCGTCCTATTGCTCTATTGAACTCTGATTACAAGATTTTTACTAAGATCCTCGCCAATCGGTTATCTAGGCTCATCTCCAAGCTCATACAAAGAGACCAGGTTGGCTTTGTTCCTGCCAGACATGCAGCGGGTAATACCAGAAAATCTATTGATCTGGTTGACTTGGTTAACCGGTCCTCCATCCCCACTATTTTATTCAGCTTAGATGCCCAAGAAGCTTTTGACCGCCTCAGCTGGCCTTATATGTTTATGGTCTTGGATCAGTTTAGCTTCAGTGGCCCTTTCGTGGCAGCTTTAAAAGCTCTCTACTCTCACCCTTCCTCACAGGTCAGACTAGCCTCCTTTCTTTCACCTCCTTTCCAGATGTCGAATGGTACACGGCAGGGATGCCCACTTAATCCCCTATTATTTATCCTCTGTTTGGAAACATTGGCTTTTGCAATCCGGGCCCATCCTGATATAAAAGGGGTATTGTCTCATGGCCGTGAATACAAACTATCCCTATTTGCGGATGATATTCTCCTCACTCTCTCGAACCCCCAAATCTCCCTCCCAGCATTACATAAACTTTTACGACAATTCGGGACTCTTTCGGGTTACAAAGTTAACACATCCAAGACTGAAGCGCTCCACTCCACATTCCACCGGTTGTCCTCTCATCCCTCCAAGACTCTTTTCCATATCGATGGTGCACCCATTCTTTAAAATATTTGGGTATTAATCTTACCTCTTCCTACAGTTCTATTTATGATGCCAATTTTTCCCCACTATTCATAGCTATTTCCCGTTCCCTAAAGTTTTGGGATACTCTACCCTTATCATTTTTGGGACGTATCAACGTCATAAAGATGACTGTACTACCCAAGCTTTTATATTTATTTGCGACTCTATCTGTTACTGTTCCCATGTCCAAACTACATTCCCTCCAGAAATCCCTTCTACACTTTATCTGGCATAATAAGCGGCATAGAATTGCTCGCAGTGTGCTACTGTCTTTGCGCTCTAGAGCTGGCCTAGGGGCACTGGATATCGTGACCTATTATTATGCTACTCACCTCCGTTTTATTCCGTCATTGTCCACCCAGTTTCCTCCCAACTTGTGGACTGAAATCGAGTCCTTACAATTGACTCCGACTCACCCTTGCTCTCTTCTCTGGTCATCCTCGGCGGTGGACCCTGCCCCCTTTCTTTGTCTCTTCCTTGGCCCCATGCAATTTTCCATGAGTATTTGGCGGAAATTTAAGACCAGGTTTGCACTGACCTCAGACTGCTCTCCACTGACTATTATTCTCTTTAATCTCAATCTTCCAAATAGTTTGGTCGTGTCCCGGTTGCTCCCTTGGGTCAAGGCCAGGTTTTTCCAATTGCGCCATCTAGTAAACCTTATTACTCGGAAGTTGCAACCATTCTTATACCTCCAGAAAAAGGATCCGCCATCCCAGCATTTTTATATATATCTTCAGCTACGCCATTTTTTCTCCACCATGTCCCCCACTTTGACTCTTGATAAACCTTCGCCCTTTGAGCGTCTATGTATACAGGGCCCACATCAAAGGGGTATAATTTCCAAAACATACAAACTCTTAATGGACGCTACCCCCCTCTCTAACGACACTCACCATTACATGCACAAGTGGTCCCAGTTTCTACAATGTGACATCGATCTACCACAGTGGAAGAAAATTTGGGAAAACGCATCTAAATCCTCTGTCTGTGTGGTTTATAAAGAGAATACATACAAAATGTTGATGTTGTGGTACAAAACCCCTGAGGTTATTCATGTTTTTAACCCGAGTGCTTCTTCTGCCTGCTGGCATTGTGGGAAAGACTTTGGCTCCCTCTTCTCCACATTTTTTGGACTTGTCCCTTTTTGGGAAGAGTTTGTCTTTTTTACAATTGTTATTGCATACCTCTCTCCCTTTTGAGCCTCTATATGTTTTATTGGGCTTGCCGTTCCCAGGTCTTCCCAAGGTGTCCGGGAAACTTTCCTCACATATTTTGACTGCAGCCAGAAGAAGCGTTCCTGTGTGTTGGTTATCCACTATACCGCCCTCGATATCCACTTTGTTTAAAATTATTGCTGATGTACGACAGATGGAATACCTGACTGCTTTACATTCCGGCTCGACAGCTGTGTTCGAGGCAGTGTGGCACCTATGGGATAATTTCTCCCCTTCCCACCTTTCTCCGACTGTGTTGTTCTGAGAGCCTCCCCACTGTAGCTATGTGACGTTATTATGTTTGTAACCATGCAGATTTTACCATCGATGTGCTCCTTCTTTTTATTTTGTTCTCTTTCAACGTGTTCTTTGTATATGTATATATGTGAAAATCAATAAAACTTGTTAATAGAAAAAAAAAAATACTTTTATTCATTTAGCTTTTCTATGCAATCCTTTTTGTATTAACAGAATGACTGAGGACACCTTTGATACGGTTCGACTTTGGATCATCATTCTTCTCTGCGGATTAAGGTTGATAATGATGAGACATCATCTACAAGCTTACTTAAATTTGGCCCAGAAATGTGTGGATCAAATGAAGAAGGAAGCTGGGAGAATAAGCACCAAAGAATTACAAAAGATGGTGAGCATGTTTATTTGCTCGTCGTCCGAACATAATTGGGTGCTATCTGATGATTTGTGTCTGAATAACTAAATTTTGTTGCTGCAATCTTGAAGTAATTCCAGGTACTAATTTGGAATACTGTACAATATTGACCATTCCTAATAGGGAACTATCTGGTAGGCAGCATGTAAGAAGATCTTCTGTAAACCTGTCTGTAGCGATAACATTTTCTGGAACACCGATATAGTCTACAAAACTATATCTATCTACCCATAAGTGCTGATCATTTTAAATTTAAAACATTCATTGTAACAACATATTTAATGCACATTTTTCAAAAAAGGTGTGCTTCTGTATCCTTTTCTTGTTGAATAATTATGATAACTTATTGAGTAACTAATGCTTTGATTTCAGGTGGCTCGAGTATTTTATTACCTTTGTGTTATTGCACTGCAGTACGTGGCACCTCTGGTGATGCTCCTTCACACAACTCTGCTTCTGAAAACTCTAGGTAGGCATCACCTGACAAATTATATTGATTTATACAGGTCCAGTAACAGATTGGCACATACTGGTGTACACCGGGTTACAAAACACTCATTACATGGTTGCCATGCTAGCTAGATACTTTTATTTACTAGAATTTTCATCTTTTCTATGGCCCAGATTCTGACTCTGTGGGACCCTCACAGGCTAGTATGTTCTGTGGCCATGTAAGCTCCCTGCAGTCTTACCTGCACATTTTAGCACAAGGGAGGTTTCACAAAATCTCATGACAACAGGATGCAGTCTCACTCATCTGTTTTTAGAAATACAGTAGTCTGTTAAATCTGACTTCCAATGATTTTGTAAAATCCAGGATTAGGTAAATTAGGTGTCGTTGCATGACAGAAAAGATGCAGTATATTTTAGTAATTGGTCACAGATTTTTACATTTCATTATTTAATACATACTAGCAATGGGCCCGTATGACCACATTGTGATCGCCAAATTGCAACTAAAGCTCAAGACTACACAGTCTTACAGTCCAAACACAATTCTGGCTAATGTTAATAAATAAACTTTAATGTGTTAAACTATATTCATTCTGGAAATCTGATCTCTTAGCTGTTAACCTCTGCAATGCTGGCAGTTCACATTTCCATAAGCTAGAATTGTGTTTTGGACTGTAAGACTGTGTAGTCTTGAGCTTTAAGTGCTGCATCTGCGATAGAAGGACTGTATGTATTTCAGCTAGTGATTGTCAGCTGGGAGAGTGTCAGAGCCAGTTAAAACCAGAAAAAGTTGTTTGTTTCTATACTGTTTTTTTCTACTAAAACTGAAACTGGCACAACACTAACCTCTCATACAGTTCCAGGTGTATTATTTTTGTAAACTAAATCTAAAGTGCATCTCCATTCAAAATGTTTTATTATTGGACAGAGTGGAGAAAGTTTGAAACTTCTACATTTAAATTATTTATATTTAATACATAATTGAAAGGTTGTTTTTAAGTTCTGCGTTTAACCACTTCCCGTACGGCCCATGTATATAAACGGCCGGATGGGAGCAGTGCAGGGGCGGGTTGCCGTTCACAAACGGTGCCTGCCATTTTAGCCTGTGCATGCACCCTGGGAGCTGTACAGAACCTCTGTGTGAGGTCCTGATCATGTGATCACTGATTGGCCAATCAGTGATCACATGAATAGTAATAAGCAAGATGTCACTTCTGACATCATTGCTTACTACGTGTGAAATCTGTGAATGATCACAGAGGTCACATGGTACAAGGCTATTCACAACAGCCTTGTACCATGTGACAAGCTGTGGCCAATCACAGCTCACACAGTATTTCTCAATGGCTTCAAGAATGCAGCCAGAGAGAAGGAGAAATGATTGCTTTTACAGCCTTTATGGGTGTAAAAGCAATCGGTGTAAAAAAAAAAAAAAATCTTCATCACCCCCCACAAGTAGTACAGTGTCACTACGGTGACACTGTACTGCTAGGGTGACAGTATGTTTAAAAAAACCCATAAATAATAATATATAAAAAAAAAATGTTAAAAAATATTTTTAAAAATTATAATTTTTGGTTATAAACTAATTTGGATTATTTTTTTTTTTTACTAAAAAGATAGCTGAATACATTTTGGCCAAGATTTATGAAGAAAGAGTATTTATTTGCTAAATTTTATAAGAAAAAACACTTTTTTTTCCAAAATTTTGGACTTTTTCATTTATATAGCAAAAAAAAAGAAAAATCCCAGCGGTGAATAAATGCCACCAAAATAACGTTTTATCTGTCTCAAAAAAAAAATGCTAAAAATTTCATCTGGGTACAGTGTTGCACGACCGCGCAATTGTCATTCAAAGTGTGATAGCGCTAAAAGCTGAAAATTGGCCTGGACAGGAAGGGGGTAAAAGTGTCCAGACTTGAAGTGGTTAAAGAGAGGGCAAAGAACCAGTATTGCCTATACACTTCCTGTAGCTCACCTTTTCTCCATTCCTGACTTAGTACTTCTTGTCCTGCATGGTAGATGCAGGGCTTTGCTTAATGTCAGAGCTTTCCCCTGATGACTGGTGATTTAATATAGAGGACTTAGGAAAGGATGGTGGAGTAATAATAAAGACACATGTGGAAAGGTTAAGGAACCAAATTTCCGCTGAATGAATGAAGAAGCAGCAGAGAGATCTCTACATTGTAGATCGTTGCACTGTAGATCCTTTGTTACAGATTTCTCACTAGCAAGAAGCACAGTAGCAACCTTTTCAAATATTGTGAGACTAGTAGTCAGAGGCAACAGTGCTTATGGTGATCTCTTACCAAAGATAAACAGTGTTGAGGCTACAGGCACAGAAAGTGCAGTGTTCTTTGAAGAGGAATTCGGAACAAAAGGTAAATCTTGCAGGGTACTGCTTAAGCACAGTTAACTATTCTAGATTTTCCCTATAGGATTGCATATCTTTACTCTAAGTTTAGATCCACTTTATGTAAATTCAGTCATTGATAGTATTGTAACAAATGTAATGCCATTTTTTCTTGGTGGTGTTTGCTTTAGCAATACTTCTATCTGTTTCTAAAATGTTTTTTAGGTAATCATTCATGGGGCATCTATGACTCTCCTATGGAGGCATCACAAGGGTCGAACTCAGGTTTTACTGAACAGCCATACCCTGAAGAAAAGATGAAGGCAACAGTCACCCAAATTACAGTGGCATTAGGGGGTTTAAAGAACATTTTCACTCCACTCCTCTTCCGGGGACTTTTATCATTTTTGACATGGTGGATCGCAGCTTGCCTTTTCTCCACCAGCCTTTTTGGCTTGTTTTATCATCAGTATTTAATAGTGGCATAATTTGGTGACTTTATATCTGTAACCTTAACATGGACCAAGTTGGAGACAGAAAGCTGCAACAGCTAGAGCACACACGGTTCAGCAGCACCCTGTCTTGTGTCAATGTTTTCTCTGTATTCTCAGGGTAAATATTGTATCAAATCACTGTCGTGAGCTTAATCTTCATTACCTCAGAGGGAGAAGACCTAACTGCTGATTGCTCGTAAAGATAGTTTTTTATTTTTTATTTTTTGTTTTGATTGACTGTAAGAGATGCTCTTATAAAGACATCATCTTCGATTAGCGGTTCTTGCACTTCACATTCTAAATTTTTTTTCCCTCTCACCAAGTACGGATAGCAAATCCTTTTTTTAATCTTTCGTTAGAGATCTGAGCCATACGAAGAAAATTTGAGGCTTGAAGGTGACTAATAAATTTCTGCTGGACCTGTCCATTTTTAGTGACAAGGTCCAGCAGGACAGAATGTATTACTACTGTATATTACAGTAAATGTATGTCAACAACTGTGTATTATTTGGTGACCTTTATGTGCCTGAGGATGTGTGTGTGTGTCTGTTTGTGTGTGTGTATGGGCAAATATTGAAATCTAATTCTGTTCTGTACAAAGCTTTTTACGTCACTGAACACATAAACACTCAAGAAGTGATGGTGCTAGTAGTGGCTCACGTAGACTGTGTGTAAGAGTAGAGGTTAAGCTTGCGATAAATAAATGCATCACTTTTGTTAACATTCAATTTGTATATTACTCCAGAAATTACAAATGAAAAAATTGTAGAAATTTGCATATAACATATTTGGTAAATGCCGTCCAATTGCAGTGTGTTTAGTCTAGGTTTGCATTAGTGTAGGAATAAATGTAAATTGTATACATTCCTGTAGCCGCACAAAAAGTGCAGTGCTATAAAGAAAGCGCAGGGGTGCCAATAACTCTTAAAAGCATCCCCTCACACTGAAAAAACGTGGTGCGATTTCCCAAACACAGAATCGCATGGTGCCAAAGCACCATGCAGTTTCGGTGTTGACTGCATTTTAAAAAAGGTGCAACCTTTTTTTCTGTAGGAATACTTAGGCACAGCAGCCCATTCAAATGAATGGGCTGCTGTGACTACATAAACGTGGTACACCAAATCGCACTAATGTGAACCTAGACTTAGAGGTTATTTGAACCATTTGACTTATTGTTAGGAAACTTTACTAAACCTATTTACTGTGCTTGTAGTTGGTCAGAATTTGACTCTTAGCAACTCGCATAAGCTAATTTGTTTTTATGTGAAAGTGGGTCTTTCATTTGTTAAGCGCATTCTGATTCGCATCTAGCGCTGCCTGTTACATATTTGTTTCAGGTATGTTACTAACAAAGCACTGAAGTCATTAGATCAGCATGTAAGAGATAGAGAGACTATACTGAGGTGCACAAGGGTGCTCTTTGGCAGCTCACAGACTAGGGCCTCTAGGGGGCACTTCAGTTGAATCCAGAGAGTATAAAGAAAAAAAACAGGCGCACCAGACCAGATCTTGAGACACCTGAAGAATTTATTTCATCATAAAACATCAAGGGGTCAAGCCCCCTTTCTTCATCAGGGCTTAAAGTTGCTGCTTTAAATTTGAATTTGTCCAAGGCTTGAATGCAAGCTTTACAAATCTCAGTATAAAGCCAGTGCAAAGTTTGCAGGGTAAGGCTTCTATACAGACTTTTTTTTTTTTTTTTAATGTAGTTTAGTTGGTTGGATTCCCTCTTGCACCATAATGTAAGCTTAGGAGGAAATTTAGAATATATACTTCATGAGGTGTAAACAGATGTTTTTTTATGTCCTGTACCCACAGATATCTTAATATAGAGCTGGGGCATATTCCTGATTTCTACAAAGTACTTCTTAAAGTCAAATTCCAGCCTAAACCTAACTAGTCTTAAAAATCTCCCCTAGCTCCCTACACCTATGCTGACTAATTTAGCCAAAGAAATGATATACTTACCTATTTTCAACCTGCTCCGATCTGATCACATGATGTCTGGCTCCCCTGTGTCAGCCACCAGCTGCTGCAGGGGAAAGGAGGGAGTGCCGACAAAGGGCAGAACGTGGAAGCCTTTGGGTGACTTTACTGCTTCCATGCATTCCCAGCCATTGCCGAGCACTCTCTCTCTCCCCTGCAGCTTCTGCTGATTGACACAGGGGATCAGAAAGTTATACATCTTTTTTACATAGATTAATCAGCATAGGTATTAAGAGGGGGGAGGTGACAGTTTTATAACTAGTTAGGTTGAGGCTGGAATTCTACTTTTAATAGCTAGGTCTGAACTTGGCTTGATATTGTTTTTTTTTTCTTTAAATAAATGTTAATGCTGGGTTCTACAGTCCTATTCATTTTTATTTCTCATCCAGGTAAACCTCGAATGCAAGGTTCTGCCACAAGTCAACATATCAGTTATTTACTTGAGCATTGATTGCACTTTGGCCTTGCATTATTTAGCTTTATGTGTATTTCTTTGGGTAAATCAGACCTAAACTGAGAATTTGATCAGTTCAAGGTTCAATTTCAAGATCTTAGTGGCATAGAGGTGATTTTGTTCATCTTGCTTTAGTTCTTCACGATCAGTTCTTGCTTTTCTGGCCAAATCTGAGAATAATCTTGTTGCCAAGATTCAGAATTGCTGCTTTCATGGCCTGCCTTAGACATTTTGAATTTTTAAGCACTGAGATGTGTTACATGGGAATTAAATGTATAAGGGCTCGTTCACATTACCCCGCACAGAAAAATTAGCAGTTTCTGTATGGGCCATGGGAGGCTGCATTTTTACAATGCAGGACACAGTTTACGTTTTCTACTTTTTATTGAAATGTTGCATGTTGAAATTTCCATCATTTATATGCATAGAAATGCACAACATGGAGCGTTGTGGTGCAGTGAGGAAAAATGCAGACATGCTGTGTTTTTCATCACCTCTTCACTTTGTTGTAGTATGACCAGAACACATAGAAAACAGTTGTTTTCTGTGTGCCCTTACAGAGATCTGTGTTTTCACATAGTGAACTCTGCACAGTGTGAATGAGCCCAAAGATGTTTTTTATCCCATTTTTAAATTTTTTTTTTTGTAGTGCTTTATGCCAAATGTCCTTTCACACTGCTGTAAAAGATATTTTTTAGATTCCCATATATTTCTATGCAAATTTTTTTAAAATCTTATTCTTTACATGCCAACTGGTATAGCTGTGGTTTGATTGCTCTAATATCAGCAATGCCATTACTTAGACCATGGTTAAGGTGGCCATAGATTGATCAGAATTCAGCTGGTCAAGCGGGGATTGGGCAAATTGTAATACATCTATGGCAGTACCTGTTTCCAGAGAAGTTGATTTAATGATTGACTTCTCTCGAACTGACTTTTTGGAAAATTTTCCTTTGATCAGCTCTGCAGCCAGTAGGACACTAACAAACAGAAAAATCAGTCAGTAGGCTGCATCGCTGATCAATGTATTCTGAAAGCGGAGGAGTCTCCACTGTCAGAATACAATGACACAGTGGAGGGGGGATTCTTCCTTCCACCTCGCTTGTGTGGTCTATGGCATTGTGGATGTGGTTGTAATTAAAATGTCTAGGTTGACCTGCCAATCAAAGTGAAATGCGAGTGCTGCTATAAACAACACATTTTTGGTCTTTATTAATCAAAGTAAACCTTGCAGTTACAAAGATTGCCCTGATTTTAATTTAAATTAGCTTCCTCAAGTTAAACTCAACAGGTCCTCCTTTCCCTCTGGTAGCAGACTTGTTCTATAACTTGAAAAATTAACAAAATGTATCTGTGAAAAAAACACATTTTACTAAAATTTGAGCTCAATTTCCTATACTCAATGGTTTACAAAACCTGTTTTACATCTAAAAATTTTTTTTTTTTTCTCTGTACTGTCCATTGAAGGAATTAATTCAAAAACAGGTTATAATGCTGCCTACAGGAAGTTGGGACACTGACAAACATCATGAGCTAGTCCCCGTATAATCCTTCCTCAACCCAGCAAGCTTTTTCCAGGGTCCAAAGCTGTGGCACAGCCTCAGGTGTGACTCTTTTTCTGAATACTCTGATTGGGCTGAATTGCTGGCAGTTACCTCTCCAATTGCACCACTAGGCACCTATTCAAATTTGTCAGCACCAGTTTTACTGCAGTGAGGATTAAGCTTCAGGGTGACCTCAGCCCATACTCTCCTAGTAGTTCTGGGGGTATTTATCTGGTAACCCCTGAAGAGACCAATACCTTTAATCTAGAACTTGAGCCCTCTCTGGTTGAAATGTCATTATTGGACACTCCTGCAGCATTATAGAGTGTGGCTGAGGCCTACCCACATCTTCAGGGACCTCCCTGTCCACTTCAGACTTTGTTGGTGTCTAAACACTACAGCAGTGTACCCACAGTTGCTCTAAGTGTGCCCAGCACTGTGTTTGGTAGAGTCTGCCTGACCATGGTTAGCCTTTAAATCATACCTTCTGGTTTAGCATTCCAGTGGTGTTCCTCTGAAGAAGCTTTTTTCAAGCAACCTGCAGATGTCTCAGATTAGGACTTCATATGTTTCTTCAGAACAGTTCCTGCTTCATCTGGGAATACTTCTGTGAGTGGATACTCTGACCTGCATTCCATTGAACATCACCACTTCAGGAACTTCACCTCCGGGAAGGTTTGTAAACTCTGTGATGGGTTGAGTGACCTGGGCCATATGCTTTCTGGATCTCCTCACATTAAAAGGCCTAAGTACTCATATTTTGCTGGTTTTCAGGAATTTCTCTTCACAGGGTAGTCCTGTGCTAACCCTAACCCCCATGCTGGGTACTTGATGTGGATATTCTTGTAGGGGTTAGCGGTAGTCCGGAGACCCTTGTAGAACCCAGTTATCTGGTGATAGGTCCTCTTTTTTGCATCTGATCTGCTACCTCTTGAAGAAATTCCTTAAGATTCCTCCTTCATACCTATCCTAAATTAGGTTAGTGCTCTTGGTAGTGTTAATCTTACTTT